ATTCAAGGCCAAAAAGTCGGGATTGATATTGGGCAATCTTCGAATCCAAATCAATTTCCTAATTTGATAGCTATCAGGACCTTCCTGATTTCGTGGGATCATTCTCAAGTGACTGGGAGAGTTTTTAGAAAATTAAATTGTGATAAGAATTTTTTTAGGAATGGGATTAGTATTAGATTACTAATCAATTACGAGAAAATAGAAAAAGGCAAGTCAGATCCCACGTAATGAAGAATTCAGCCAGTAGCAATTTCGGGAGGAGGCAAATTCGGCAGCAATCAATTAAGCATCTTCGTAGCTTGAGACGAAAAGGAGGCAATAGTTAGTAATTCTTGTCTTTTTATTTTGGCCTTTTGGCCAATTCGTGGGAGAGGAGAATTAGAAGCTTTTCCCAATTATTTTGCATGGTTTGGTCTCCATTAATGGAGAACTAATTTCATACTTCTAGTCAAGGGGAAAATTGAAGATTTAGTTCAACAATAACTATGAGATCTAAATTATTTTACTTATTTCTTTTATTCATTGGTATTTGTACGTTTTCCTGATTTAATTGTTTATGCTTGTTATGTTATTTGAATGTCAAGAGCTCGATATTCGAATTAACCTAATGATCTAATGCCAAATTAATTGATTGAATCCGTAAGTGGCGACTAGCGTGATTGGTTTCATATTAGGGAAACGTATAATCTAACTTAAGCAAACTCTCGTAGCATGTTTGTTGGTTAGGGTTGAGTTTTTCTAATTTTTATTGCAATCAAGAAATTAAATCCTATGATCATACCTAGGGTTATTTTTTGGTTAGGAAAATAGTTAACGGTCATACCTTGGCTATCGATAAAATAAGGAAAAAGTTGGTTATCAGAGCTTGTTGATGGCTATAACCAATCTAGTTATAAGTAATTGAATTATCTTTGCATCAATGATCAGTTGAATGGACCGTATCTAAAAAGTTGCACCTTTGGCTAGAGTCGTATTGGTTATTGATTAACTCCTATTTATTTCTATCAGTTGTTTGATTAGGTAGTTAGTTAGTTATTTTATATTCTCTAAAAATCCGCCATACTTCGGACTCTAGAAGAAACGAATTATCTCCAGTCTATATACAAAATGTATATTTTTCTCGAATAGATATTTATTATTGCACAGACTCGACACCTGTCAATTTTGCATTAAAAATTCCTAAAAATAGCAATCCAAATAAGTATTTTTGACAATAATTAAGCACAACAATGTCATTGTACTAGTAGTTTGGGTATAGCAACTTTTCTAAACATTTGATCAGCTTTCATGGGCGGTAAAGTGCATATCTTCAAGATTCATGGAAATAAAGTGTTATTTCTCCAAAAATTCAGGGCTAAACTGCTATTTGCACACTAACTTTTATTACTGGTATTGTTTTCGGTAACAAACTTTTATTGCAAGTTGTATCGATCAAAGGCAAATTACTAAAAGGGAAAATCATTTAAAACTTTTCTAACATTTTGTAAAATAATTTTTTTCGTCCCTCACTTTTAAAAGTGTAATTTTACGTCCATTACAAATTTACATTAGTCAAATTTGGTTCCCGTCTAGGTTTCAAACTAGTTTTTTATCAAAATCTGTCACATGCCTTGTTCGTGATAATTTTTTAAAGGCGAAATTATCAAATTTAATTTTACATAATTCGATTTATTGTCTCTCATATTTCATAAAATGAATTTTTAGTCTCTTATATTTTACTAAATGATTTCTTTTCATCATTCACATTTTTCAAAATAGATTTTTCTTATTCCTCATTGATCATGTGTGCAAATAGTTTCTTTTTAAAACCCATGTATATATCTATTTGATTTCACTTGAATAGTACGAATAGCATGTAATGTCTCTATTTGATTTCACCTAAGACATATTACATGTTATTTTATACTGCTTAGGTGAAATCAAATATATATAAATTTTAAAAAATTGTTAGTTTTTCACTCATATTCATTTCATTTTACTTGAAAATTGAAAAGAAAGAAGACATTTAATTTTAAATATTATTGAGCGTTTATATCGAATTAAATTTGTACAGAAAAATTAAACAAAAGAAAAGTATGACAAAAAAAATGTAATTAATAGGTATTTTAAAATTTTAAGACAATCATAACAAGTAATTTAATTGTTGATCTTAAAATTGACGAGTGAAAACTTCAGATTTAAATTGTAATTTATTAGTACGACTATAGAATTCGAGTTATGACCAATTAATTAGATGGCCTTATTATACAACTCAATAAATAAATTATTACCAAAAGAAAAAGACCACAAATATTAAATAAGTTCACGTGGTGAGATCACATAGATATATACATGGGTTTAAAACAAAATTATTAATTTTAAACCTCTATATATATATCTATTGAATAGAATGTGTACAACTAAGATTAAGCAGTTTACGTGAAATTAAATAAAGATATATTACATATTGTTCTTACTGTTCAGGTGAAATCTAATAGATATATATATGGGTTTAAAAAAAAACCTATTGCACATGATCAATGAGGGATGAAAAAATTCATTTTGAAAAATGTGAGGGATGAAAAAATTCATTTTATGAAATGTGAGAGATAAAACAATTCATTTTTGTAAAATGTTAGAGTTGAAAAAATTCATTTTGTGAAATATGAAGGACAATAAATCGAATTATATAAAATTTGATTTGATAATTTTGCCCTCAAAAAATGATCATTTGCAAGACACATGGTGGATTCCGACAAAAAAAAAAACTAGTCGAAAACATAAGTAGGAATCAAATTTGATCAATATAAATTTGTAAGGGACGGAAAAGTACACTTTTAAAAATAAGGGACAAAAAAGTCATTTTACAAATATATGAGAAACATCGAACGATTTTCTCTTACTAAAACCATAACGAGGCACTATGCTCATGCTTCTTTTGCTTCACTTATTGATTATTGGGGTAATTTCACAAACCTATTTTGAGGTTTGCCTTAATATCATTTAATATCCTTATAATTTCAAAAATCTCTCTTACCTCCATTTGATTAACATCTTTTGGAACATTGTCACCTCTTAATAAAAAATCATAGACGGGGAGGGATAATAATTTACTTTGATTTGTACCCTTTCGTTATTCTTTATATAAATAGCAGAGCAGCAATTAAGACTAAAATAAACCTAATAGGCAAAAGGCAAATTGGAAGAGATGTAAGTGCAACAAAGAGAAGTTGCAGCAGATAAATAATTTAACAATTTTGCGATGATTAATACTCCATATCTAAAATTATGAAGACAAAATAAGAAACACAAGTTCAATGGCAAAAGAAGCAACTTAAAGAGGAAATTAATAAAAGATATTGTAGCAAATCATAACAAGTTCTAATATTAAAAGGCACTCTTATAATTCACCAACTCATTTAATATAAAGAATTAATATTATTGATTACAGCAAGAAGGCAACAATCATCATGATTTCAAAAGCAAAAGAAAATCCAAATAAGCCGCATTTGCTTCCAATGCCCATTTGATGTGCTTCTAATTTGCTAGGTAATTGCAGCACCAAAAGTTCCCTACATTTTATTGCGGGAAAATCGTTCAAAATGTCCCTAATATTTTATAAGATGAATTTTTTCGTCTCTTATTTTTAAAAGTATAATTTTATGTCCCTTACAAATTCACATTAACCAAATTTTGTCCTTACCTAGGTTTCCGACTAGTTTTTTGTCGAAATCCACTACGTGACTTGCATGTGATTATTTTTTAAGGGCAAAATTATTAAATCAAATTTTTACATAATCTGATTCATAGTCCCTCATATTTCACAAAATGAGTATTTTTGTCCCTAACATTTTATAAAATGAATTGTTTCGTTCCTCACATTTCAAAAAATAAATTTTTCCATCTCTTACATTTTTCAAAATGAATTTTTTCATCCCTCATTGATCATGTGTATGAATAGCTTTTTTTCTATAAACCCATGTATATGTCTATTTGATTTTACTTGAACAGTTAACATGTAATTTATCTCTATTAGATTCATCTAAACATGCTAATCGTAGTTATACACATGCTATTCAATAAATATATATAGGTGTTTTAAGCTAATAATTTTGTTTGAAATCCATGTATATATTTATATGATTTCATCATTTGAACCTATTCAATATTTGTGACCTTTCTCTTTTTGTAATAATTTATTTATTGAGTTGTATAATACGGTCATCTAATTAATGGGTCCTAACTTGAATTCTATAATTGTGCTAACAAATTTTAGTTTAAATCTGAATTTCTACTCGACACTTTTAAGACCAACAATTAAATTATTTGCCTTGTGATTGTCTTAAAATTTGAAAGTGCCAATCACTTATTTCTTTTTGTCATACTTTTCTTTTGTTTATTTTTTCTATCCAAATTTAATTCGATATAAATATTCGATAATATTTAGGATTAAATGTCTTCTTTATTTTCAAATTTTGAGTAAAAGAAAATGAATATAAGTGAAAAACTAACAATTTTTTTTAAACCCATGTATATATCTATTTGATTTCACTTGAACAATACGAATAGTATGTAATATATCTCTATTTGATTTCACATGCTATCCGTACTGTTCAGGTGAAATCAAATAGATATATACATAGATTTAAAAAAAATTATTCACACACAGGATCAATAAAAGATGAAAAAATTCATTTTGTAAAATATAAGGGACGAAAAAATTTATTTTATGAAATATGAGGGATTATGAATCGAATTATATCAAATTTAATTTGACAATTTTGCTCTTAAAATATGATCACGTGCAAGGCACGTGGTGAATTTCGACAAAAAATTAGTCGGATACCTAAGTAGGGATCAAACTTGACCAATGCGAATTAGTAAGAGACGTAAAATTACATTTTTAAAAGTGAGGGACGAAAAAAGTTATTTTACAAAATGTGAGGGATATTTTGAACAATTTTTCCTTTTATTGCTACAGGATAAAAAAAAAAAGTCATATAGTTTTGTTAATTGCTATTGGATTTTCAAAAAGCTAATATTGTCAATATGCTACCTATGATAGAAATCTAGTCACAAACGATAGAATCTTTGTAGCTGAACTCGGACGGGAAGACCATCAAGGAGATGAAGAAAAGGCCTTTCTCAGTCGTCTGTGATGCTCATCTCCGCCAAAAATCAGGGGCAGGAGGTACTGCTACTCTTTCATTTCTTTCTCCAAGAAACTCCACCCTTATTCAAAACCCACAATCAGCTTCTAGTTCTGCTGCTTCTCATGCCTATAGTACTGGTAGTACAGTTAGTAATCATCACCCTAAATCTGACAATAGTGTTCGTTCCGGGTCTTGGGGATTGAGGAGGAATATCGATAGTATCAGCAATCTTGATGAAGCTCTGGGCTTTTACAAGCAGATGGCTCGGATGAGACCTCTGCCTAGTGTTGCTCATTTCAATAGACTGCTGGGTCGTATTGTTAAGATGAAGCAATATTTGGTGGTTCTTTCTCTTTACAGAGATGTGGCCGAGTTAGGATGCATTTCGCTTAATGAATACACGCTAAGTATTGTGATTAATTGTTACTGCTTCTTGGGTAGAGTGGATTTTGGATTTTCTATATTGGGTGGCTTCTTCAAGCGAGGTATTTTGCCCAATACGGCCACCTTTAATACTCTGCTTAAAGGACTCTTTTGGGAACACAAAATTCACGAGGCACAAGGATTGTTCAAGAAAATAATATATGAAAAGCTATGCGTACCCAGCAAAATTACGTATGGGACCATCATAGATGGGCTTTCTAAGGCTGGGAACACTAGCATGGCCATTCAAGTCCTTAGATTCATGGAAAAACGAGGAAGGTGCAGGCCTGATACAGCTGCTTACAGCACTATTATCGATGGGTTGTGCAAGGATAAAATGATGGATCAAGCTCTCTCCCTTCTACACGAGATGATTGAGAAAGGAATTGCCCCGGATGTCATCACTTACAATTGTTTGGTCCAGGGTCTGTGCAATTTAAGTAAATGGAAGGACGTTGAAAAGCTCTTGACTGAGATGAAGGCTTATAATATTGCTCCTGATGTTATTACTTTTAGTATTCTTATTGATGCACTATGTAAGGAAGGACAGTTAGAAGGTGCAGAGCAGGTTTTAACTGCCATGATTCAGCAAAATCAGAATCCTACTGCAGTCACTTATAATGCATTGATGGATGGATACTGTTTACAGGGCCGAATGGGTGAGGCAAGGAGAGTTTTTGATAAAATGGCTGCTAGTGGCCTTAGTCCTGATGTTCAAAGCCATAATATATTGATCCATGGCTATATGAAGAAAATGAAAGTGGAAGCAGCCATGAATCTCTTCCAAGAGATCCGACATAAAGGGTTAACGCCGAATGTTGTTACCTATACCACTGTCCTGCAGGGTTTATTTAGTGTTGGGAGGTATCTTACAGCAATCAAAGCTTTCGACGAGATGCGAGCTGCTGGCTTAAAACCTAATTTTCACACTTACTGTGTGTTGTTAAATGGTTTATGCAAGAATTCACATGCTGAGGAAGCACTTCAATTTTTGCACAAAATGGAAGTTGTGGAGTAGATTCTCAGATAACAATGTACAGCATCGTCCTTGATGGATTGTGCAAATGTGGGAAGCTTGACAGCGCCCGGCATCTTTTCTATAGTCTCTCTTCTAAAGGATTGGATCCTAATGTTACAACTTATAACACGGTGATAAATAGCCTCTTTTCAGAAGGATTACTACAGGAAGCCAAAGTGTTTATTAAGAAAATGGAAGAAAATGGTTGCACTCCAGATCTAATTACATTTAATATTATTGCTCATGAACTTCTGAAGGCTGGTGAATTTAATGATGCAGTGGTTTATTTTGATGAAATGGATAGGAGAGGATTCTCACTTCATTTGTCTACTTTTTCGTTTTTACTAGATTCATACAGAGATAGTGGAAATGATCCCACTATTTTTAAGATAATTGAGAAGTTTGCTCCAAAAATGTGTAAAGTCTAAATATTGGATTGGGGGGGAGGGGGGCCTTATCCTTAGTTGGCTCCATTTGGGATCTCTTGGTATTCCACTGCTTTTTTGACTCCTAATGTGTAATCATCCAAAGGTACATGATGTAGATTTGCTGCTGATAGTATTGTCAGTATCTGTCCTTTTGGTTTTCAAAAAGTTTATCAACAGTCCTTGGAGGAGCACTCTTTGAGCACATTCTAGAGATTTGAAGATTTAATACCTGCAGAGTGATAGGGATGGTGTGTTGAAGCTCTCTTATTAGTATCAGATGAAAAGAGTGGCAGCCTGCCATTTTTAAATGCTAGTCATGGTTTGTACTCTTTTATCATTCCTCTCGGGTCAGTTTCTCAAAGTTCTATTCCTAATTTTAAGCTTTCTTGATGCTCATATTTGGTTTATTCTGATTGCACGTAACCAGTTATGATATTTGCTTGTGAAGTTTGAGTACTTCTGTTACAGATCCTTGTTTAGCATCACAAAATGGATCTTAACCACTGATAGGAAAATGGGTTTTCTGTATATCTCATTTTGTATGGTTGTCTGTTTCTGTAGTCCATTCTATGTTTGGTTGTATTGAAGGGAAATTGTCAACAACTCATGTATTCCAATGTTTAGTTCTCCCACCCTTATATCAGTGGGATTTGCTCGAGTTGCGTTAAAAGTGATGCAACCACGCCAAGATTTAAATGCCTGGTGTAATTCCTTCCTAAACTTTTCTCCCTGTTTTCCTTTTCATTTGTTTGTTTCTTAGAGCCGATTAAGCGGAGGGTTGGATCATCGTATAGCCTCTGATTTATCGACTTTGCTTTTGGGGATGTTTGGCATTGGATAAAAGTTTCAGTGGCCCATGATATCCGATAGGAAGTGGATGATGATTTACACTAGTCTGAGTTGCTGTTGGATTCCTCAACAACTGGCTTGCAAGGAAACTAGCATTGTAACGATCTTTTGGGGCAATCATTCATTTTAGCAGTATATCTGTAGCCTTTGCTTTCCAAGATGGGATATTAGTATATTGGAAAGGTATAATCATGGTATTTGTTCAAGCAAGCTTACCTTTGACAGTCTTCATGCCTCCCCCATTTCAGTAAGTTTTACAAGTCCTCTAGTGTATGCATGCTCACATTTATAGTTATCCAAGCTTCATAAAAGAACTGTGTTGTGCCAATGACCTCACAAGCACCCTTCTATTGATGTTTGTCCCTTTTTATTTGAATACTCATCCTTGTTCTCTGAACATAGTGCTGAAGTTATGGAAGCAAACATTTTGGAGTTGGCTGTCGGCCAATTTGGACAATGATCTAAATGCAAAATTTACAAGTGTGTTAGAACTTGCTGTAATAATACCATTGTCTGCATTCTGATGCTCGACGTTTTAGGTATCCAGCTGCTTAAAGTTCTGGATAGCACCCTTCATAGTGATTCATATAGGATGACTGGCCTGAGATATTTATATGGGTGCATACTTTAAGTGCATGCAAATGACAAATAAAATGTGTCTATTAATTAATCACAGGTCCAAGCAGAAGTTTGTATTATTAGTTTAGTACTACTTGTGTTAAGGGGTCTTTTTCTTTGTTATTCTGCTGTTGGCTCTATGAATACCTCTTCCCATTTTTATATTCTGCTTATGGTTGATTAAACTTGCCTCTTAATTACAGGCATCAAGGGAGGAATTATTTCTAATGCTAAGATTGGAGTTGAGCTCAAATGTCAAAGGATAATTACTTGATGCTGTCACTGATTATTATAGTTTCTGTACATGATTATTGTAGTTTCTGTACATGCATACGGATTTATATATATATATAATCAACTGGACCTGAGAACATTTCCAAGCTAAAAATTCTGAGATATTCTTGGCAGCATTCAGGTTTTCCTTTGTGATTTTCTCCCAAAGTTGTCAATCTGATATATATATGTTATTGTACTTGAATCCACTGAATGTGTTCAATTCTTTCTTGCCTTTTGCCCCTAAAACTAGTCATGGTCTCTTTGGACACCATCAGTCCATCATCATGCAATGCTAACTCTTGGAAAGCTGGATCATTCAAGTATTTTTTTCTCCCAGTAAAATTTACTGATGAGGGAGGATCTAATATTATAACTTTGATAATTAGTGACTTAAATTGACAAATTTCCACAGCCATAAGCACGCAATTGTCAATGTAGTTTTTACTTCATTTTGTTCGCTTTGATAATAACGTGGTTAGGATATTATTTCTATATTTATTCTGGCTATTTAGAACGTGAGAATAATATATAACGTGGTTAGGATGGTAATGAGATACATTTGAAATGGGATAGCTCTTTCTCGTTCTTTCCATTGACCTCACTAAAATATATAAATTTTATCTTTATTGTTACTCTTAGAGATTATTCCATTACATTTCAACAAAATATGTATCTAATGTATTTTTTGTTTGTTACTTTATCCTTACCAAGTTAATACATTTAAAAACAAATATTCAACTTTACTTTTACTCTTTTTTCTCCTTTTTTCAATGTGCTCTCATGATACACACTCATTTGCAAATTCTTCATAATTGTTTTGTCTAAATATTGAAACTCAAAATGGCAAAAAAAAAAAAAAAAAGAAATCTAGATCTTTCTTCATTTCACCATTACAATTAAATGTAGAGAAAATTCATCAAGGATTTGAGAAAACTGGAAATACACTTTATTAGGGATTTTAAAATTGGAAGTACTAATAAGGAAACCCTTTATTACTCGATTTAAATAGCATAAGTAACCTTACTCAAAAGTTGGTGGAACGCAAAAAGAAAGAAAAAATCCATCATCATGCAAATTTAGACACCATCTTCTGGAAAGTTAGATCATTGGAGGGTTTTTATTTTTATTTTTCAATGCAAATTACTGAGAAGGGTGGATATAGTTTTAAGTTTTATAATTAATTAAATTGATAAATTACCACAACCATAAGCAAGAAATTGTAAAAAAAAAATATTTTGAATTTATTCAAGCTACTTTTTTTTTTATTCAAGCTACTTAGAATGACAGAATAATATAAATACAAGATCTTTCTCCCAACAAAAAATAAAAATAACTATAAAAACAAAAGATCAAAAGAAAAGCAAGAAAATAATGAATGAATTAATCACAAGTGAACCACAGACGGGAGTCCGTAAAGGGAAAATGGTCAATTTAGTCCCTAAACTTTTTTTTTTTGGCATCAATTTAGTCCCTATATATTATTTGTAGCCAATTTAATAGTTAAACTTATATTTCGGTCCCAATCAAGGAACTCATCGGCGGCGCCACCACATAATTTTCATTATGCTCCTAATCGAGAAACCAAAAGGGGTATTTTAGGAACTTCAATGCAGGGCCGTAACCAGTCAATGCTGGGACCGTTGAAAGAGGAGTAATTTTTTTTTCCAATCCAAATTCACACTAATTAGTGCCGGATATTCCTTGTTTTGCCGGATATTCCTATCGGCTGAGCCTGATTTCGGAGTCATTGGAAAGCCAATTAGTGAAGCTTTACTTTTCTGATTCACAAAGCATCCCACTGATGGATGGCTCAAGATAGCCGGTAGTTGCACCCAACCTCCATAAACAATGCCCCTGCTTCTTATCCTCTTTTCAAATCCTTCAGGAAGCGCCTCTTCGACAGATGTGGTCCTAAATGGTGGCTTCCCTCCCCGATCAGCAATCAATTAGTAGTCCAAATCTTCAAGAAAACCACCCGATTCTTCATTTCACATCCCTTCACCTTTATCTTCCTCATCTCTCTTGTTTTCGCCTTCTGTTTCAACGTTGAGAAGGGGGCCCACTACCTCATCTCTTCCGTCGACGGCGACCCTTCTCTCAAGTCCCTCATCTCCCATCTCAACCTATTTGGCAACCAACAATACCACCACCACCGCCACCCTTACCATATCCGCCGCCGCCGCCGTCACGCCTTTCTTCATCTCTCTAGCGTCGAAACCTTTGACGAAAACTTCTTCTTGGGTGATTTCGATTAAGCCCGCTCCCTCTTCAACCCCACCACTAAATTCGAACCCAATGGGACCTTTGTGATTCTCTCCAATTTCAACCCCAGTCTGGGGTTTTTCGCCCGACCCCATTGTGGACAATGGCGCCTCTTTCGCAGTACGATCTGGTGTTGTTGCCTTTATAACCCCTTCAGAGCCATTAGAAATCCCTCAAGAAAGCACCTCGTTACATCCTGATGCTAATGATTCCACCAAGGATTCAAATGCTGTTGTTGATTTACACTTCTTGCTAAGGGGTCTTGAATTAGGCTGACGCGACACCATGGCATTGATGTACTTTGTTTAGATTTTATCAGCTGCATATGGGTACGTGATCTTGGCATTCTTGGTTACTTACATTTGGGTCAATGGAATTGTATTTTATCAGGTTTCCAATGATTTGTTAGGGAAATCCAAGAACTTTTTCAAGGGTATTTGGGATGGATAAAATTTGGGGATAAGAAGGCTGTCTAGATTTGTTTTAATAAGGTGCCTGTAAGGGATGTTGTAAGGGATGCATTGGCTCAACTGATGGGGATATATTTTTTTGGACAAATGGATGATCAGTATGAGTTTTTCAAGTTTTTTATGAGGATGAAATTGATGTATTTCTTTGACGTCGTACCGTGGGTTTTGGGGCATGAGAGAGAAAGAAAGTTTGGGGTTTATGGCGTTTTTACAATAGATACGTGGGTTGCCATTGTTGATTCAAGGAAGAGCGGGAGAGAGGTGGTGCCCAGTAGTGAAGTCCCTAAAATGCCCTTTTTGGGTTTATCGATTAAGAGCATAATGAAAATTATGTAGGGCGCCGCCGCTGAATTCCTTGACGTAAAATAATATATAAGTTTAAGGATTAAATTGGCTACAAATAATATATAGGGATTAAATTGACGTAAAAAAAAATTTAGGGACTAAATTGATCATTTTTCCGCCCCTAAAAGACGGAAAAAGCCTTCGGCTTCTTTCCTCACTCCTCAAGTTCTCATCACCGGTTGCAGCTGGAGCCCGACGAAGAAGAAGAGTAGAATACGAAGGAGATGAAGAAAAAGGCTTTCTCAGTCGTCTATGATGCTCATCTCCGCCACAAGGCAGGGGCAAGAGGTACTGTTCCTACTGCTACTTGTACTACTCTTTCATTTCTTTCTCCAAGAAACTCAATCCTTCAATCAGCTTTTCATTCTGCTGCTTCTCAAGCCTATAGTACTCGTAGTAAAACTAGAAATTGTCCCCCTGAGATTGTTCGTTCTGGGTCTCGAGGATTAAGGAGTGATATTGACAGTATCAGCAACCTTGATGAAGCTCTGGGCTTTTACAAGCAGATGGTTCGGATGAGACCTTTGCCTAGTGTTGTTCATTTCACTCAATTGCTGGGTCGTATTGTTAAGATGAAGCAATATTTGGTGGTTATTTCTCTTTACAGGGATATGGCTGAGTTAGGATGCATTCCGCTTGATGAATACCCGCTATGTATTGTGATTAACTGTTATTGCTTCTTGGGTAAAGTGAATTTTGGGTTTTCTATATTGGGTAGCTTCTTCAAGCGAGGTATTTTGCCCAATACGGCCACCTTTACCACTCTGCTCAAAGGACTCTTTCGGGAACACAAAATTCATGAGGCACAAGGATTGTTCAAGAAAATAATATATGAAAAGCTATGCATACTGGATGAAATTACGTATGGGACTGTCATAGATGGGCTTTCTAGGGCTGGGAACACTAGCATGGCCATTCAAGTCCTTAGATTCATGGAAAAAGGAGGAAGGTGCAGGCCTCATACAGCTGCTTACAACACTATTATCGACGGGTTGTGCAAGGATAAAATGATGGATCAAGCTCTCTCCCTGTTACACGAGATGATTGAGAAAGGAATTGCCCCCGATGTCATCACTTACAATTGTTTGGTCCAGGGTCTATGCAATTTAAGTAAATGGAAGGACGTTGAAAATCTCTTAACTGAGATGAAGGCTTATAATATTGTTCCTGATGTTATTACTTTTAATATTCTGATTGATGCACTATGTAAGGAAGGACAGTTAGCTGATGCAGAGCAGGTTTTAACTGCCATGATTGAGCAAAATCAGAATCCTACTACAGTCACTTATAATGCATTGATGGATGGGTACTGTTTACAGGGTCAAATGGGTGAGGCAAGGAGAATTTTTGATAAAATGGCTGCTAGCGGCCTTAGTCCTGATGTTCAAAGCCATACTATATTGATAAATGGCTATATGAAGAAAATGAAAGTGGAACCGGCCATGAATCTCTTCCATGAAATCCAACATAAAGGGTTAACACCGAATGTTGTTACCTATAACACTGTTCTGCAGGGCTTATTTGGTGTGGGGAGGTATCTTACGGCAATTGAAGTTTTCAATGAGATGCAAGCTGCTGGCTTAAAGCCTGATTTTTACACTTACTGTGTATTGTTGGATGGTTTATGCAAGAATTCACATGTTGAGGAAGCGCTTCATCTATTGCAGAAGATGGAAGTTGAAGGAGTAGATTGTCAGATATCTATGTACAACATCATCATTGATGGATTATGCAAAAGTGGGAGGCTTGATACGGCCCGGCATCTTTTCTATAGTCTCTCTTCTAAAGGATTAGATCCTGATGTTAAAACATATAACTCGATGATAAATGGCCTCTTTTCAGAAGGATTACTACAGGAAGCCAAAGAGTTTATTAAGAAAATGGAAGAAAATGTTTGCACTCCAGATCTAATTACATTTAATATTATTGTTCAAGGACTTCTGAAGGCTGGTGAATTTTATGATGCAGTGGTTTATTTTGATGAAATGGATAGGAAAGGATTCTCCCTGCATTTGTCTACTTTTTCCATTTTACTAGATTCATACAAAGATAGTGGAAATGATCCCTCTCTTTTTAAGATAATTGAGAAGTTCGCTTCAAAAATTGGTAATCGAAGTCTAACTGTTGGAGAAGGGGGATCTTATCCTTAATTGGCTCCATTTGGGATCTCTGGATTTCGGCTCCTTTTTTGCTTCTAACATGTAATCATTGTGTAATACGTGATGTAGATTTGCCATTGATCTTATTTGCAGTATCTTTCCTTTCAGTGTTTCACAAAGTTTAACAACAGAACCTTGGAGCAGCACTCTTTGGACATATCTGGGGATTTGAAGATTTCATATTTTGCTGGGTGATAAGCGACAGCGTGTTGAGGCTCACTCATCATGCAGATGAAAAGAGCAGCTGCCTGTCTGTTTTGAATGCTATTCGTGGTTTGTCTTATTTCTGCATTATCTCAAAGTTTAATTCCTAATTTTAAACTTAATTGAAAACTTGCATTTTCTGTATGATCACTCTTACTTTATACATGATAGCTTGTCCATGAGATTGGCATGTGGGAATACTAGATTGCGGCTGAATCTATCTTCACCATACAGATATTGTTCAAATTGTGGTTGCAAATAATCAAATTAAATGACCCAAAAATAAGAGTTGCAGGTGGAAGTCGTCATATCATGGAATTCAATTTCTTGGACTAAACTAGAGTGCTGTCTATTCGAGTCTTCTTTGCCTTAGTGCATATTCATTTTTATAATTCTCTATGCTAGCCTTAGACATGAACTAGCTCTGAAGCCTCTGAATTCATGAATGAAAAGAGCAGCGAAATTGTAATTAGCATTAACGCCCAAAAGCTTTGGACTCCTCTTATAGTGAGAAAATGTATTTTGTAAATTTTAGTAAGTTACGCTGTTTTCTAGTTGATTTTAGTGCCAAAAATTTGCATGAGCCAAGGACGATTAAGGTTCAAAGGAACATCTGTTGTGTACAAAGGTCATTAATTTCCAACTTTCAGTCGCACATTAATTATCCAATTTACAAGTTGTGAACTACTGAAACACACTGCAGGCAAAGTTAGTTAGTAGTAGCCTTGCAAAAATTAGATGTTGCACATGTGTCAGGCAGGATAAAGGATTAGTCAATGCTTGCGTGAATCCTTAACTGTAATTTTATAGCGTTCTTTTTGGATAAGAGGACAAAGTTCTCAGATACACAAGCATTAAAGCAGAATAAGCAGTGACAATATCATAATACATATCTTAGTTGAGGACCTCCCTGCCGTATCAGCCATAATCAATACTAGCTGGCAAATACATCCCCACCAAACAAATCACCTAATCATGCAAAATTTTCTAATGGACAGGATGCATTAGCAGGAATGTATTTAGGATCCAGTGAATCAGGGAGCTTACCAAGTTTAAATCCCTGAAACCTGTTTTTCTCATGATCACAAGCATAAACTCGTGACAGGTTAGTCATTATATTTGGTTCATAATTCAGTTCTGTAGTCTAGAACTTGGTGTTTTGGGATTTTTCTGTGATTTCGCCGAGGTGGTCAGGCAGATTGATTGCTAGTTCCCTTCTACTGGTGATCTGACATTTCTTAGAACAAATACTCTATAAAGGTGCAGAAATGTGGTCTCGGCATCTCAAACTTTCAAACCATTTGTCTATGCTCTGTTTCTGCATTCAGACATCTCTTGGAGTCTGTTTCTGTTAGGCTTTCTGGGAATAAGTTTGATGGCCGATGCCTGTTGAACTCTTCCTACATTTTGACTGGAAATGGATTCAGCTGAAGAAAAGAAGGTGAAAGCTTAAGAACATATATTTTCTTGATAAATGAATGCCTTAATTCAAGGTTGAACGCGCATGGATGGGAGCAAAGTAAGAAGCTGGATGGACTCTTCTAAATATTTTTGAAAGTACCTGTTTATTTGTGATGCAGCTATTGTCTTCTCTTGTATTTGTTTGGCTAAGTACTCTGGAGAAAGTGCCAGCACTCGGCATATACATAGGTTCATGAGGACCATAATTATCTTGCATTTTAATACTAGCTTCATTGGAAACCCCTAATTTTGTTTTAGGGATCCTGAGCATCATCTTGTACTGCTACTGGCAATTGTATCATGCAATGTAAACACTAACATAATAACATATCTATACATAAAAATAACATAGGTAAATATTAAGATAATAAGATGCAAATACACAATAAATTATTATAAACACGGAGATAATAACAAATAAAAGAACAATAAATTTGTTTCTTGTTGAAAACTATTCTCCGCAATCACAACTGGAATAGAAGGGAACCTACATGCTTGAATCACCATGCAATGCCAATTCTTGAAAAAGCACATTCAAGAGTTATCCATCCCTCCAAGAAAAATTAGTGATCAGGGTGTTTTGTGATTTTAACTTTAATAACTACTCAATTAAATGGACACAATACCCCATCTATAAGGAGGCAATTCAGACTACAGATTTTGCTTTATTGGCTTCACTTTGATTTTTCTGGCTAGGACAATATTTCTAAGTCTATTCTAGCTTATCTAGAAAGATCGATTGATAATTCCCCTCAAAATTAATTAATCTCTTTCTCCAAGAAAGGGAAAAGGGGGGGGGGGGGGGCATTTAAAATGAGAGACATAGAAAGAATGGTCTGATGACAAAAAAAATAAGAACAGCCAACAGCCTATGGAAAGACCATCAATTTTGTGATCTTCTAGGTGAATTCCAATGGAAAGACCATCAAGAAGATGAAGAAAAGGGATTTCTCTGTTGTTTCTGTTGGTCATCTTTGTCAAGAAAGCGGGGGCAAGAAAATGGTATCTGTCATTTGAGTTCAATCTTAATCCTCGAATACCAAAACTTCCTTACTCGCTGCTTGTCATTAAGAGACAAATTTAAAGAACTGCAGCAGAACATAAGCGTTGAAGAGCTATTTAAGGAGCCAAAAATGAACGGGAAAAGATAGCTGTTTTTGGGGGATGTGTTTGAAATGTTTTACTGTGGTAATGTAGGTGAAAAACTTTTATTGTAGATGAGATTGTTTTTGAGATTATTTTTGATGTTTTTGAGGTTTTTTTTTTAATATTTTTGAGGTTGTTGAAGTTTTGTGTATTAGTATAGCATTGTATCCTAAAAACTTGTTTTTCAAAAAATGATGAATCAAAATAGGGCCAGAGACAATTAAAACAGGTAGAACTGATAATAGCAGAAACATCTGCTTGTGCCTGTGATTAAGAGACATTTAATCCGTCCTCTGATTGAAGATAGATTATATTATTCACCAAGGGTAAAATATTTCAAGTCACAACCAATTAGCAACATTTGGTCCCAGGAAAAGGAATTCTGCAGCTGCATCAGTACAAGAGGGGGCCAAGTTTTTTGGCTTGTTTAAGGGGGTCAAATAAGGATTTGTGCCTATGAGGCCAAAGACCCCCCCAGCAGATGAGAAAGGAAAGAGAAGCTCCGCGGAATTTGGTGAAAGTGAACAGATTGAAGATTTGTGTAGCATACTTCAACCATTCCACAAAACTCATTTGGCAGAGAGTCCAATTGAACGACAGAAAAACAGGAGTAGCAGATGGCAGTCGTAATATTGGGGAGTTCAATTTCCCCCGACTTAAAATGGAGTGCCATCTTCTCTGAGTCTTCTTTGCCTGTGTCCATATTGATGGGTAGTTCTTCCCACACAAGACATACTTCCTATTCTAGTACCATCCTAGTCTTAAAACATGAAATAAACTCTCGAATCCCTGAACTAATGAATCAAACCATCAGCAAAAAGGTAAGCAGGCTTTCACAGAAGTGTTTTCTGGTTGATTTAGGTGCTAAAACTTTGCAGCAACCAAGGACTATTAAGGTTCAATACAACATCAGTTTGGACTTTTTCCATTTCCTGCCATGTTTCAGTCGCACATTAATTAACCCAGAGGTGCAATAACTCACAAGCATGAAACTTGAATTCATTCTTAGCTTCTAAATCGAATTTAGTTATTTCACTAAATCAAAGTCTCGTTTGGGTGACATTGGAATTCTGACTCATAGATTTTAATCCAAATGCTTCCATCTTAATGAGGGATTTTCTCCTTCCTCCATCATTTCATTTACTTTAGACAAAAGTTTTGATGATTAATAAATCATAACATTCTTATTTTAGGTGCAACTATTATTCTAGATTGATTACATTATTGATTTCTATATCAATCACATATTGCGAAATTATAAGATAACTCAGTTAATTTCAAAATACAAGGTGAGGCTCCTAAAAGCCCAATGATCGCTAGAATTTAAGAGTATAAACGAACCTAAATGAGCATTATGATACGGTGTTTGGACTTGTAGGTTTGAAAAAACTTGAAATTTGTTTTTATGCATTTTTTTTTAATATTTTGGCATATAAGCTCTAATTTTCTAAGTTTGATATCATAAATTAAAAAAAGAGCAAATGGGAAAAATATTTATTGAACTAGTTAGAGTTCCTTGCTTTAGTTACAAAACTTTTTTTCTAGCTAAAATGGTCATTTAACTAACCAAAAAGTACTCTTTTTTTCACTCGCTCAGTATAAACTCACACTTTTGATCACTCAACTAATAAAAAGTGCACACTTTTTGGTTGCAAAATGTTTATTTTAATAAGTTAAAATGGCTAACTTTTTGACAAAATAAAAAGTTTTTGTGATAATTTGTGCCATTTGCTCTTTCAAACAGCATTAAACGAGTTCTTATTGAACTAAATTTGGTATATTTTTGCTCTGACTTTATTACTAAAGAAATCAATCATATGATGCATTACTAATTTTATGCATGATGATATATTACTGCTATTTACTAATGATTTTTTTAAAGGGTGCTCATTGGATGCTCGTCAACACACTTAAAATTTATCCAACCTATTATGTATATACATATACTAACAATTACTATCTTTCCTTATATTTATGTACTTTCTCTATTTAATATTACCTACTCTCTCTTGTATTTATTTACTTTTTCTAATTAATTTTACATTTCTAAAAATACAACACCTGAAATATATTTGCACACCAACCCTTTAATAATTACCAAAAGCAAAAAGAAGAAACATACTTGTTATTAAAGAAATCAATCATTTATATATGATGTATTACTAATTTTATGTATTTGTGTTGGTAAGAAAAAGAAAGTTAAATTAAATTAAATGGCGCCAGTTACAAGCATCTGGCGGAAGCAAACCCATCGGACTGTGTCTAAACTGGACTCAGAGTGAGTTGTTGGACAAGAGCTCTGAAATCACAAATTAAAGGGGAGAATGAGTGCTGATCAGAATTTGTGCTTGTAATCTGATCAATGATAACCTTTGAATCTGCTTCAATGATGATATGTGAATAATTTTGTTGCACTGCAATCTACAGCCCATCTCTGATTCAATTCCCATGCTTCAGCTACATTGTTGGTTGCATTTCCAATGAATCTGCTGTATCCAATTGGCCACTCTCCCGTGTGGTTGCGAAAAAGCCCGCCTGCACTTGCTGGTCCCGGGTTTCCTAGTGAAGAACCATCTGTGTTTAGCATAGCAAAGGGTCGCATAGGTGATTCCCAACCAATTAGCAACATTTGGTCCCTGGAAAAGGAATTCTGCAGCTGCATCAGTACAAGAGGGTGCAGGCCAAGTTTTTTGGCTTGTTTAAGGGGGTCAAATAAGGATTTGATCCTATTAGGCCAAAGACCCCCCAGCAGACGTGAGAGGAAAGAGAAGCTCCGCGGAATTTGGTGAAAGTGAACAGATTGAAGTTTTGTGTAGCATACTTCAACCATTCTACAAAACTCATTTGGACTAAATTAGGGTCATTAAGAGGAAAAGAGAAAGAAGACTAAAGACTTGACAGCTTTGGGACAAGTCTTCACAATATGTTCAGCATTTTCCACAGTGACATTATAGAAAGCACATGAACTGTCACGAATGATTCTCCTTTTTGGTAAGCAAGTCCTTGGTGACTAACTCCTCGTGACTACAAAGCCATAAGAAGTGTTTGACTTGGATTGCAGTTTTCTATCAAAAATTTCTTATGTATCGCATTTTTATTTCATATCTATTAAATCGCTACCGTACATTTCTTCACAAAAACTCTAAAAAAAGCCATCCAAACAGGAGTAAATTCCAAATTCAGGCAAAGGAACTTTGACTCTAGACTAATTTTATGTATGATGGTCTATTACTACTATTTAATAATTACCAAAAACAAAAGAAGAAACATACTAGTTACTGTAAAATGTATTACTCCCTGTGGTTTAGTATTTTTTCACATCACCCCCTTGTGGTTTCAAAAATTGTACATAACTCTCTCATGATTTGAATTAAAGTGTTAAAATGATGAAATTTGTATTCCGTAACGGAGTCAACTAAAATATCAAAGTACTTCTATGTAAAGTTAAAAATTATTTATTAACAATAGGAGGTTACGTATATTTTTGAAAACTATAAGCAGGCTATGTTATAAAACACTAAACCATAAGGGAGTAATGCGGTAAAAATACAAAACCATAAAGAGTTAAAGGGTCATGCATATTATGTTTATATATTTTGGTCACTTTAGCCATTTTAGTTCTTAAACAAGGATAATCTTGACATTTCGATGGGTTCCGTTATTTTGACACTTTAATCAAAACTATGAATGAGTTATGTATAACTTTTGAGAGGGTTATACAAAAAAAATTGCTAAACAAGAGGGATGGTATAACAATATACTTTACCCTATTAGAAATCAGTCATTTTATACATGATGTCTTACTAATTTTATGTGTTATGATGTATTATCTACAGTTTAATAATGAATTAACTTTTTACTTTTTATGTACGGTAAGTATAGTGATTTTTTTATACTAGTTATGATATAGTGCTTTTTTGGTATTAGTTCTAATATATCAATAAGGGAGAACTGCATAAATAGTCCCTCTCATATTGTAAATGTGAAAATTTAGTCCCTCAAAACGAAAATGATCACTTTTAGTCCTTAGCAAATAAAAATGGATCAATTTAAGTCCCTTTTCACTTTTTCAAGCGATTTTTGGTCAGAATGTGTCACGCGCACATCATGTGCCCAACTTTTAAAGG